CAGATGGGCCTGAGTATGAAGTGCCACTCATGGGCTACCAAGGGCCCAGCCTCCAGGGGGGCCTCCCGTCTAAGCCCTACATCTAAGCCTGGGAGAGAAGGAGTAGCTAGAGGGCCAGGCTCTCAGCCACCACCCTCCACTGACACACAAGGAAGTTCTCAGTGAATACCACAGAGACACATGCAGGGTGGGGCTCTGTGACCACAGCCAGAACTTATCCCTCTCTGGGCCTTGGTCTCATCTGTGAGCTAGTGCAAGCCAGGTGATGAGCTCTAATAGCTACGGGCCTGAGAGCCTGGGAGGTCAGTGTCTGCCCATTCTGCAATGTGCAATCTGGAGCGTGGTGGCCCTGCTGTGTGCTGGTAACATAGGCCAGGGCCCCAGCCCAAAGACCTGGGGGCCAGTGAAGGAAGCCCCTAGAAGGAGCAGGCAGGGACAGCCCTGTAGCTCCAGCCTTGCCCCAGAAGCACAGGAACACGGGAAACTGGAAAGGAAGGTGCCATGGGAACGTGTGGATTTGCTTCTGTTGTTTTAGTTTTTTAAGTGTATTTATGAGATCCTTTCCCATTTATGCTGGGAAAATGTTTTTCAAACTCAGTGACAAGGACTTTGGTTTTTTAAGATAAACGATGATATGAAGGCTTTTTGTAAGAAAATAAAAGACAAAAGACGTAAGTGTTTCTTGGGGTTGGCCCAGGGTAATGGAATGGGTGCAGCAGGGTGTGAGGGCCAGCCCTCTGAGCAGCCGTGCTAAGGCACCTCTCCCTCATAGGCACCAGGCCTGGGCCTGGAATGGCTGCTGCCAAGGTCCCTTTGGGGGAGGAATGAGCTAGGGCAGCTTCACCCTAGCCAGTTCCAGTCTTCTGCTAACAGGAGCCACAGTGCCTGTGTATGAGGCTGGGAGAGGTGTGTAGCATATAAGGAGCAGAGAGGGATCCCTAGAGAGGTCATGCCCTCCTTGAGCTGGTCTGACCATCACTTTACCACCTGCTTCCATCTGGAAAGGAGGCTCCCTTGAGCTGTCTCAATCCTGGGCCTCACAGCTAGTTCTAGGGCCAGGCGGGCCCCAGAGCCTTCTGGCAGGTCCTAGGCCAGCCAGGTAGTGAGCTTGGCCCTATCTCCTCCCTGCTGTCTCACTGCCCCCTGGCCGTGTCTCAGCTAGGAAATCCCACTTCTGCACCATCTGTGAAGAAGGGCCCTGGCTGGGGGGAAGCATGTATCCATCACTAATTGGTGGGGAGGGGAGGGGTGAGCCACAGCTGTTAGTGGCAGGCTTAGGACAGGGCCAGAAGGCCAAATCTGGCGCCAGGCTTGGTGGCCCCATGGTGTTCCTTTACCCCCTGTACTGGGGATGTGCTCAGGCGCTCCAGAACCCTTAGGAGTGTTTTTCAGGAGGGCTGATGGTTGAGGTGTGATGGGCAGGGATGTGGAGGATAGCAGTGACCTGGACTGGGTGCAGGGACCTTGGGGGCAGTAACATATATAAGCACCTTTTCCTGTTACCCCCCGGGGAGTGAGAGGGGACACAGCCTGGCTCAGTAGAGCTGGAGCTCAACTCCCAGAGGCCTCAGGCCAGTGTCCTTCTGTGGGTCAGCACCCTGGCCCCCAGCCTCAATCCTGATGGGAAGGAGGCTGCCCAGCCAGGCCCAGGGAGCAGGCCTTGCGGCTCAGGGTGCTGATGTCAGCACCCCCCAGCCACAAGAGGATCTGGATTCAATTAGTGGCTGCTGAGGGCTCTGGCACGAGGAGGGAGGCGGTGGGCGGCAGGTCATGAGGGCAGTGGGTGGTGGTAGTGGGCCTGGGTGGGGCCTCTTCCTCCTAAAGTGGTGGGGGCGGCAGCAGCCCAGGTGGATTTCCTGTAGGCCTGTGTCCTATTAGGGCAGTGCCCATGAGGAGGCCTCCCCCGTTCCCCATCAACCCTGTCAAAGGGGCCTTTGTGGGTCTGTGGCTGCTGCAGATACAGTGGCTGCTGAGTAAATGTTTTTGCTACAAAGCAAACCTGGTTGGGTAGCAGGAGACCCAGGGAAAGGGGCCTCCCAGAAGAGGTTTTCAGTGTTCCATCCCTAAATGGGGACTAAGCCAAGATGCAGCCCCTACCCAGGTTGTCTTTTTTTTTTTTTTTTGGTACCGGGGATTGAACTTGGGACCTTGCACTTGCGAGGCAGGGGGCAGAACCACTGAGCTAAATCCCTGGCCCCAACCCCTACCCAGGTTAATCCACTAGTTTCAGGCCAGGGACCAGAGGCAGATGTGGGAACATGCTAGCCCCCATCACTGGGTTCTGACTGCCCCAAGCGTGTGCCGTGCATGCTGCACAAGCAGTCCTCCCACAGCCAATAAGCCCCTGCACAGAGGAAGAGTAGCACTGCAGAAAGGTGGGACAACAGCTTGGCTGGATCCTAACATCTGCTCCCTGCTGAAGTGGGACAACCGGCCATGAAGGAGGGAGTGTAACATTTGATTACTCCCTCAGTTCACACTCAAACATAGCAATCGAAACAGGTGTCTCCATCTCTCCTGGACCAGAGCATAAGACTCCACTAGACCCTCTCATCCCATCGCCACCCTGTGCCATGCAAGGGGTTTGGCACACAAAGTGCCAGGCAACCTTGTAAGGATGACTGAGGATGGCTTGGCTCCCAGCCTCCTACTGTGCTCACTGTGGCATGCTTCCCTGTAGACACTCCACAAAGGGTAGTGAGGAAGGAGATGGGAACCCTGGGATGGACAAGGAGGGGGATAGGGCATGTGTCTGACCCCTGGGCCCTACAGTTCTTAAGAGCACACACTGTTCTGCCCAAACCAAGATGGAAAATCTGTAAAACGGAACAATTGAGGGCAGCTGAATAGACACAGATGCCAACCTTCCCCGAGGCTGTGCCCACAGTTGACACCCTGTGCACTTTCCGTCTTCCGTCTGTGGGGACTCTGGCTTGCAGAGCGCCTGGGAGGGCAAGAGACCTGCCACCTCTCAGAACAGCCTGGAGGCTGGCACACATCCTTGGCACCCACCAACTTCATGGAAGCTGGAGAGTCCCAAGTCCTTTTCCAAGGGTGCCGGCCTGCTGGGGTAAGGAACCAGGGCTGGGAGATGGAGGGGCGGGACACTGAGCTGCGCCCAGCTGGGAGTGATTTGAGCAGCTCCAGTCCTCCTGGTCCTTCGAGGCTATTCTTAACCATTGTAATTACAGGGTCAGACTGGCCAGTGGCATCGTGGGGTCTGGGCATCATTAACTATTCCAGGGGCCACTCAGGGGCTTGGCAGGGGGGAGGGACCCATTACCATTGGTGGAGCTTGGAAGGCAGGAAGTGGTGGGAGGAAGACTACTGACTGCTGATGCCAGGCCCCTTCGCACCACAACGGCTTTCGTGGGGGCCTGTAGGGAAGAGGCCATCTGGTGTGGGAAGGTCTGGAGGACAAGATGGCAGACCAGCGCCAGGGATGAGATGGGTGTAGAAAATGGATGTGAAGCACCAAGGCCTGACCGCTCTGATTCCTCCAAGGCAGGGGGGCCCCAGCTGACTCCTTTCCTGACCACCCCCACAGCCAGAGTATAAGAGGCTGATGACAACCCTGCCTCTCACCTGCTAAGTGATTTCAGGAAAGGCCCTGAATGGCACTCAGTTTTGCCTTCTTCATCTGTAAAACTGCCTCACTAGCATCCTCCTTGGGTCTAAAAGGGTAGGATGGAGGTCTCTGTTCCCCTAACCATTTCCTTGCTCTGCGGAGCTCTCAGCCAGGGAACCTATGAGCAGGGTCTCTTAGTGGCACTCAGGTGAGAGCTCTTCTGGAGGGTACAAGGAAGACCCTGTAGTCCTCCTTGTCTCCAGATACACATTACCCTTGCTACTCCTGGAACTTGGGCTGGCCCCTGCCCCTCTATGACTCAGTTTCCTCAGTTGTGAAATGCAGGAAAGACAGGGCTGGATGAGCTAACCATGCTGGCTCCAGCATTCCCTAATCCCTCTGCCTGAGAGAGCCCTAGCCGGCCAATCTGTGAGTCACTGCTGAGACAGGCTGAGGCAACAGAGCAGGGACCAAGTCCCTGTCTCCTCCCCTACAGATGGCCTGGCTAAGTCTCTGAACCTCCCTGAGCCTCAGTTTCCTCAGCTGTAATGTGAGTAGTTGTGCTGACCAAATGGATTGGTCCCTTTTAAGTGTCTGCCATAAGCCTGCTGGTGGTTGGCTCTAGAGCCACTGTGGACCAAGGCCATCTCTGCACGAAGCTGCTCAGCTAGGCAGTGCCATGGGAGGCTGTGTTGAAAGGATGAGACACACTGAACCTCCCATGCTGCCTAAGCACCAACTCCATATGGGGACAAACCACGGACAGCCATGTGGCAGTTACTGAGTGAGCCCCACAAACCTTGGAGTACAGGTCCACATGCACGTCCCAAAGCTGCCCATCTGTCCCAATGTCACTCCATATCCACCCTGTGTCCACCTTCCTATTGTTGCCTCAGGCCTGCTTGGGTCCTGAGGCCCACAGAAACATCCACAGCAAAATCAAGCATGTTCCCATGCTTCATCAGTGTCACAAATGCTGGTCACAGCCCCCTCCCCAAATGCCAAAACACATCAGTATGAGACCCAGGCCATGAAAGCGGCCCATTGGTTGTAGACTCACTCTGCTTCCAGCGGTCCAAGGTGACAGGGAAGGACATATCCACTCACTCAGGGATTCCTGCTGATGAGGGCTGGAGCTCCTGAAGGCCAAAGTCCAGGCCAGCCTCAAACTCACTATGTAGTCCATTTGGTCTGAAACTCAGGGATCCTCCTGCCTTAGATTCCCAGGCACTGGGATTACAGGCATGGGCTACCATGCCCAGCTCCACAGTGCCAGATTTCTTTTGCAGGGACCTTGCAGCCCAGCTCAGGTACCTGTACACTCAGATGACCAGCCCTCCACACTGAGAGGCTGGGTCAGGGGCCCATAGCAGTGGCACTGTCCAAGCCCTTGGGCCCACAGCCCCCAACCCCAGCATGCCACATCACCTACCCAGATGAGGTATCCAGGGTGAGGGAGGCCAGGGCACTGGAGAAAAGTCGGGTGTCCCAGAGTTTCACTTCTCGCTCACGCATCTGTGGGGAGGGGCCAGAGAGAGGCTCAGAGGAACCTGGCCCTCAGCCCCACCCCAGAGGTTCCAGGAACCCAGTGCCTGAGAGTGCAGCCTGGTACAGGGCACCTGCCTAGAGCAGGGGGGAAGTCATGCCAGGGAGGGAGAATTTGGGTTTTCATGTCCTGCCCCTTTAAGAACTCTTAGGTGACAAGGGACAAGGGGCAGTTCCCTCCTTGGACTCTGGTCCCTATGGGGCCACCACAGCTCTCAAGGTCAGGCTTAGCTATTGCAAATGGAATCTGCCAGTTTTCCACAGCCATCAGTCCCCTGGGGTTCTGAGACTCAGCTCCACAGCCAGGCCCTATATGGATAGGCCTGAAACTGTCCAGTAGCTTCCCACCTCCCGGTGGCTTCACCTCACCTTCTTGGGGCGGGAGCCCAAAGGGCTAGACATGTCTCCATCTGGTGGTGCCTTCCTCAAGCAGGAGGAACCCTTACCTGGTTGAATCCAGTGGACACCAGGTGATCCTGGGACCCTGTCCATGCCAGCCGGCTATCCTTGCTGTTCGTGTGGGCTTGAATGCTCTGCAGATGTCAAGAGACAGTGCTAAGCCGGGGATTTAGCTCAGTGGTTTCACCACCTGCTGCGCAAACGCAAAGACTTGAGTTTGATCCCCGGTATCAAAAAAAAAAAAAAGAGGTGAAGAGACAGTGCTAAGCCACCAGGCACCCTATTGGAGGTAAGGCCTCCCAAAGCGGGCTGGAGCTGGAGGCACCGGCCTGAGCACCTACAGATGGCAAGAGGGGCCAGATCAATTTTCCCTAAGAAGCCCCTATGGCTGGCCAGGACGCAAACAGATAGGATGACCCTGCCACCACCATGATGGCAGGTGTGCACCCAAAGCCCACCGTGGCCACCAGGCTTGGTCTCAGGGTCTCCACTTGAGAGGGCTGCCAGTACAGCCATATTCACTGGAGCCAAAGGCAGCAGCACTCAGCTGAGGTCCTCATCCCTGTGTTCTGGCTGTGGCCCTACACCCAAGACCTGTGTGACCCTGAAGACCCTACACCTCCAGGAACTGGATTCCTCTTGTCTATAAACAGGGCTCATGGTGCCTGCTCCTGGGGGCTGCTGCAAGGATGAAATGGGAGAAAGGCCGGGCCTTGGCCAAATCACCATGAAAATCACTGGATTAGGAGGATTACCACTGCCTCCTGATGCTGCCAGTGGGCCAGAGGAAGGGCCCAGGGCCAAGCTCCAGGGAACATCCTAGAGATGGCAGAGTGGTGGCCCCTGTGGCCTCCCGAGGTACTGGAACCGCCTGCAGAAAGGCTCGTGGCCCTCAAGGAGGAGAGAGAAGTTCACATCCCCGGCAGGCGGCCCTGTCCCTTTGGGCCCTGGCAGGGGAAGCTGAGGGGGCCAGAGGAAATGCAAACAACTCCCTCCCAGTCACCCTGGCCCTTGGAGCCTGAGACAAGGACCCTGTTACCAAAAATAGCTCACCCCAAATGTGGCCAGCCTCCTCCAAGCTTCCCACGATCTTGGGAATAAATGAGGGAGGGAAGCAGCCTCAAAGAGCTGGCCCAGGGCCCCCTCCCCAGCCCGCAGGGGCCGACCCCAGCGTGGGAGAGCACTGGAAATGCTCCGCATCATGTCATTCAAGGGGCTTTTCTCACTGCTCCCTTCCCACCCAGCCACAGCAGCACAGGAAGTCAGGACTAGAGCCTGAGAACCAGGCTGCATATGCCTCTCCACATAAGAGGGGTTGGGGGCCCATGACAAGGGTCAGGCACTGGCCAGCCCTGCCCTTGACAACCCCAAGTGAGTCAAAGTGTCATTTGGGCTATCCTCTTGTCAGTGTCCAAATAGCCTTTGTGTAAGCAGCAAACCAGATGGTTCCCAACTGGTCTGCATATCATTCATTCACTCAATGAACATGGGAGACCTCCCAACTTAAGGACTGTGCCAGGAGCTGGCAGTGAGGCTGGATAGTTCTCAGAGGATCAAGAAGGTGAAGCAGGGTTGCTAACTCACTTTTTCTTTTATAATATAAATATTCAAGCTGCATACTCTATTAAGAGCTGGAAGACATGGTGAACCAAACAAACAAGGTCCCCAAGCCATAGAATATACACACTAGGGAGGCAAGTTAGACCAGTGTGGAGTGACTATGCTGCTACACATTATTGTCCATGCATGCCACTGTGGAGAGAAGTAGAAGTCAAGGGAGCAAGCTCTGAGTCAAAACCCCAGCCCTGCCCCTGCGTCCTGTTCCAGGACGAGTTATGCAACACTACTGTTCCTCAGTTTCCCCATCTATAAAAAGCACTATACAAGGCCCTCCCCTTTGGAGAACTGTCACAAGGAGTTAACACTTGCAAAGTGTTCAGGACTGTGTCTGGAGCACATCAAATGTGTTTTTAATTTTTCGGTAGCAGGGATCGAACTCGGGACCTTGTGCTTGCGAGGCAGGCACGGTGCCACTGAGCTAAATCCCCGGCCCACCAAATGTGTTTCTTTAAAGGCTGATAATGGTATAACTGGAACATAACTGAAATCACTGTAAAGTTATCACTGGAGCAAGGATGGGAGGACCAGCAGGTATGAGCCACACAGGGAGGGGAAGCAGTGCCTGAAAGTCAGAGACTCTAAGCACAGAGGCCGGTACAGCTGGCATGTGGGAGAAAGGGAAGTAGGCCCAGGCTAGGCCTGCAGGCCAGACATAAGAGTGCTGCTGTTGAGCGTTTTCCACCCAGAGGCACAGGTTGGGGTGGATTGTACCTTGGCCCACATCTCCTGGCTTCTTGTTTACACATAGAGAAACCAGAGCCTAAGGAGAAGAAGCTGCCCACTTAGAGTTGTCTAGCAATGTAGCTGTAACCCCTGTGAGCTGGGCTCTGTGATTTCAGTCTGCAAAGGAAGGATCTGAGGCTCAGAGGTAAAGAGCTGCACAATCACAGCTAGAAGGCAGCAGAGACAGGACCAGGGAGCCAAGAGCACAACTGCCCTCCTAGATGCCGTTTCCCTGAAAATATCTCTAGACCAGCTTACACTCTGGGCACAGGAGGGGCTGGTGGGCTCTGAGGATAGGGAGAGCATCAGGGAAGCCAATTTCTGCTACGGGCGCACCCCAATGGTGTGCCCAGGGGCCACAGGAAGCAGAGGGGTCAGCAGGCACCTTTCTCCTCTAATACTAGGTCACTGGAGTGACTTCAAGTTACAAAACTGGAGCTGGGCTGTGGTGGCACAGACCTGTAATCCCAGCACTCTAGGAGGCTGAGGCGGATGACAAGGAGGCTAGGAGGATGACAAGTTCAAGCCCCAGGAATTTAGTAACTTAGTGAGATATTGTCTCAAAATAAAGAGTTAAAAAGAGTTAGAGATATAGCTCAGTGCAAAGGCCCTGGGTTCAATCTCTAGTACCACCAAAAAAAGAAAAAGAAAAGGAACATTCTTTTCTCACCTCAGTGAGGCCTGAGCCTCTGGGAGGAAAAAATCTTCCCTCCAGGCCTTCAGTCTCAATCTCCTGGGCCCAGGGAAGGCTGCTGCTGGAACCCAGGCATCTGCTACCCAAAAGTCCCAGCTCTGTCATTAGAGACCCCTTGGGAAGGCACTGGGAGGCCAGGGTGCCAGACTGCCTCCCAGAAGCAAGGTGGGCTGCAGGTTCTGCTGGGAGATGGCCGTTGTCCCCACAGCCAACAGGCATCCTGCTCATGGAGGAAGAAGCCCAAAGAGGGACTTACTGCTTCTCAGTCCTCGGACCAAAGTCCATCCCATACCTAGCCTTCGGAAGAGAACGGGAGGGGCTACAGCCAAGCACCACCAGCCAAGGGTGGGGGGGACATACCCAGCATTCCAGCTGCTGTTCGGCCAAATCCCAGTGGCATAACAACACTTCCTGTTTGGGGCAGGGTGGCTCTAGGGGCAGCTCTGGGCTCCTTCCTAGGGCAAAAGGCCCTTCTCCAATGGTGAGATTCCCAGCTGGCTCCTGGACCAGGCTCAGTTCTGAGCTCCGGATGCTCATCCTCATGCTTGGCCCACCTTGTCACAGGGGTGTAGCTCAGGAGGCACTGACACCAGCCCAAGAAAGAGGCCCAAGGGCTTCCTGGCCTCTTCTTATCCCTGACCAGGACCCTGAGGCCTCACCAATCCCTGAGCATCTTCCAGCCTTGGGCTGCTGCTTCCCTGTTCAGATATGGCTCCACTGGGCTTTGGCTCAGTGAGGAGGCAGTAGAGGACCCTGGGGGGCTCATGCCAGCCTGGCTCTGCCACTGTGCTGTGTGACTGTGGGGCAGTGACAAAGTCCTGGGCTTTGGTGTACTGGCCTGGACAACTGAAAGAAGCAAAGGGCCAACAGAAGTCCTACATGCTAAGTGCCCAGGATGTAAGGAATGGTCATAAACACAATCTAAAAATAAAGTTGTAAAAATAAATAAATAAATAAATAAATAAATAAAGTCATTGTCCCAGATAGTCAGAAGGCAAAAGCAGGCCAGGCATGGTGGCTCATGTCTGTGATCCCAGAATTCAGGAGGCTGAGGCAAGAGGATTGCTGTCAATTCAAGGTCAGTCTGGGCTACATAGTGAGTTCAATGCCAGCCTGAACTACACGGTGAGACCCTGTCTCAAAAAAACCAAAAACAACAAAAAAAGAAGGCTATGGCAGGAAGATCCAAAGTTTAAAGCCAACCTGAGCAACACAGTGAAACTCCATCAAAAGTAAATAAATAGAACACAGCAAGTCTCAGGCTTGAACAAGAGGGGGCTGCCCAAGATTCCCTTCTCTGAGCTTTGGTGGCTGTGTCAGGAGGACGCTCCCCTGCATAAGCAGCCTCCAGTGATAGTCCAGGACTCAGGTGAGGTGAGACTTGAAAGATCAAAGGTGGAACAAAGAGCAGCACACCCTTCCTGACCCCGAGCCATGGCCCTGACCAGACAGAAAGAGGGATTTTAGAGAAGCTGCTACCACAAGGCCTCTCCCTGACTGGCCCCTCAGCTCATATGGACCCTGGCCGCCAGCAGCGGTTTTCCTAATAGAAGCCAGGTGTGGGCCAGATGCCCTGGGCGGAAGTGGGGGGCAGGGCTGGGCGGAGGACGGCATTCCAGGCCTGCTGCCCCCGCACCAGCAGTGGGGTGGGGAGAGGGGCGCCCACGCTCTTCCCAGGTCTCCTCACCTAAGCCCCTTCAGGGAACTCCCCAGACTCAGATCTTCTGCACTCTTCAGAACACAGAGCCCCTTGGCTGGCAGCCACTCCTGTTCCACCTCAGCCTCACCACCACCCGCCCCTGCTGGAGAAGGAGGGGAAGGGGGAGGAAGGCTGGAAGAAGTGGAAGAGGAAACTCAGGGAGGGAAGCTGGGCCAGCACAGCACCCAGTCAGGCAGGAGTGCAGGTGCCCGTGTACTGCCCTAGCCAGGACCCTGGGCAGAGAGGGCTCAGGACACACACACATACTCACTCTCTCTCTCTCTTCCCCTCTTATTTTTCTGGCTTTTGAAACAGGGTCTTGCTTTGTAGCTCAGGCTGGCCTTGAACTCACCATGCAGCCCAGGCTGCCCTTGAACCTTGAACATCCAGTAATCCTCCTACCTTAGCCTTCTGAGTACAAGGATTATAGATGTGCACCACCATGCCTGGCCTTCTCTCTTCGTAAACCAAGGCTTGAAAGTCAGTCAAAGAAAGCTACCAAGTGAGTCTTACTATCTATGCCCATACCACCTGAGACTCAAATGCCCGCAGGGCCAGGGACCAGACAACCAGTGTTATCAGGACACATGGCCATGGTATGGCCAAATCGCTCTGCCAGGCTCTATTCACCTATCTTCAGCTGACAGAGCAGAAATAACATTTCCTTCCTCGCCAAAAAGCTGCAATCTGCCACATGACTGGGTTTCTAAGGATGGGGTACAGGGGCTCCCAGGTTGGGCTGGTGGGTTACCCTTGACCTTGGGTGGGGGACAAGTACTAGAAATGGGGAGAGGGGCTATCTGTAATGGGGAGCTACTCCCCAGAGCCAGCAATAGGACCTTGCAATTCACCTCTCTGGGGAAAGAAACTTCAACTTCTTGAAAGTTTTGTGGGTGGTTTTTTGTTTTTTGTTTTTTTGAGACAAGGCCTCCCTATGTAGTTAGGGCTTCAGCCCAAGCTTGGCCTCAAATTCAGTGATCCTCCCGCCTCAACCTCTTGAGTGCTGAGATTATAGGCATGTGCCACCATGTGCAGTTAGAAAGTTCTTCTATTTGGGACAGGGATTGAACTCAGGACCTTGCACTTGCAAGGCAGGCACAGTGCCAGAGCTAAATCCCTGGCCCCCCCAAAAGTTCTTTTGAGAAGCATAAATCCATTCATCTCCCTTCCTGCTTACAATTCTTTGGTGGCTTCACATGGCCTGCTTCCCATTGTATCCCTTGGTGGAATCCTGGGACAAGCTCAACCTACCTCAGGCCATCTGCACATGTCCCCCTGACAAACCCCAGGCCTCAGCTCCAAGGCCAGTTGCTCTGGGAAGCATTAAACCCTCAGGAGAAGCCTCCAGGAGTTACCAGGACAAGGGCCATGTGTCTAGCTCATTGGCTGCTGTCCTTAAGATCTCTGTGGAAGAACAAATGGCTCCCTGGGGCTCCACATTTGCTGCATGAACCCAGGTCCCAAAACTCTCTGTTGGAATTCAAATGCCCATGCATACCCTAGGCACAGACATAAATAACACTACAGTTCCAGGTCCTGTGGGCCTAGCAGGCCCTTGTCATCCCAGGGTCCTCTGATGCTTAGGGCACAGGTAAGGTGGTTCTTTTTGGATACTCTGCAGCTTGTCTCTGTGCCAGGGACAGGGGTGAGGGTCTCAAAGGAGGGGAGGAAGTTGGAATCTCAAATTACCTTCCTGAAGTCCTAGATACCTCACCAACTGCTTGTGGGCAGATTGGCTACCCCCTACCCTGTGACCAAAGCCAGGCCCTCCCAGGACCCAGGACTGGCTTCCCAGAATGAGATTCTAGCAGCAGCCTGAGCCTGCCCTTTCCCACAACTGCATGACCTCTGGGTCCTCACATTCCATGGAGGTGTCCACTCACCCACTTCTCACACAACTCACCTGAGAGGCCTCAGGCTTTGCTCTGGGGTCAAAGATCCGCAGCTGCTTATCCTGGAAAAGTAGGGGGAAGAAAACAGAGCACTCAGTTAGAGCCAGCCTAACTGGGGGTCAGCCTGTCTCCCCACCCTAGGTTCCAACCAGCCTGTGCACCAGTACACAGGGCTGGCACTGCACACCAGGAGGCATTTCCCCAGCCCAGTTCCTGTTTCCTCCTTCTTATGCAAGAGCAGTTCCTCTTCCCACCCAGTCACCCGGAAGAGTGCATGGAGAGCCAACAGCCCACCTTCCTGCGCACCTACTATGAGTCAGGCACATCACACACATAAACTTTCCTCATCTCTCCAATAACCTTATGGAAGGGTGCTACCACCATGACCCCTTTACAAGCACAGAAATAGAGGTCTAGAAACCCATTTTCCAGTCCCGCTTCTGTCTCTCAGATAGAAGCTTTCTTTCACTCAATAAATTTTCCTACTCTTAAAAAAAAAAAGAAATGAAGGTCTAGAACCAAATTTGAAGCTACAGACTGCTTCATGTGTGTCCAGTCCTGTGCTAGACCCAGCCTGGCTCATGACACGACATCATTTCTACACTTAAAGAACTTTTAACCAGGAAGATGAGCTAATACTTTCTAACCATCCACTCAGCCCAGTTACAGATCCAGATTAGCCAAGGGCAAAGATGGACAAAAAAGAAAAAAAAATACTGAAATAAATGCCCACACTTCACTCAGGTCTTTATTCCTGTGGAATAATGTGTGTGTGTGTGTGTGTGTGTGTGTGTGTGTGTGTGTTTATACAAGCATACTTACATAAAGTACTGGAACACAGGGCTTTAGCTCAGCAGTACAGCACTTGTCTGGCATGCATGAGGCCCTGGGTTTGAATCTCAGCAGCACAAAAAAAAAAAAAGAAAAGAAAAGAAAAGAAAACTGGGCATGGTGCTATAATTTCAGCGTTTGGGAAGCTGAGGCAGGAGGATTGCAAGTTCAAAACCAGCATGGGCTACATAGCAAGTTCAAGGTTAAAAAAAAAAAAAAAGCCAGGCATGGTGGCACATGCCTCCCAGCACTTGGGAGGCTGAGGCAGGAAGGACTGCTACGAGTCTGAGGCCAGCCTGGGTTACATAGTGAAACCCTATCTCAAATAAACAAACAAATAAAATAAGAATAAAAAATAAAAGCTGGGCATGGTGGCATACACCTGTAATCTCAGCACTCAGGAGGCTGAGGCAGCACTCGGGAGGTTGATCCAGGAGGACTGCCATGAGTTCAAGGCCATTCTGGGCTACACAGTGAGTTCAAGACCAGCCTGAACTACACAGCGAGTAGAGAGAGAGAAAAAAAGAAAGAGTCTGTATCCACTATTTATAGGCTTGGCAATAACTGGCAGTAATAAATTGTTAACTACAAAAAGGAAGTTGTAGAATAACATATCACAGTGTGATTCTACTGTGGTCAAAATAACAAAAATCTCTATTTGGGTGACCACGTTCCTATACATTTAGAAAGTATGATGAGCAAGGAGAAAGGTCTTGGCCAGCATAGACCAGTGTGTTACTGCCAGGCACAAGGGTTGGGCAATGTAGGGGCTGATCAAATTTTCTTTTTTGAGACAGGGTCTCACTATGTAGTTCAGGCTGGCCTTGAATTCACTATGTAGCCCAGGCTAACTTGAAGGGATCCTCCTGCCTCTGGTTCCCAAGTGCTGGGATTACAGGTGTGCACCACCATGCCTGGCTTAGCATTTTCTTTCTTTTTTTTCTCTTTCTTTCTTTTTATTTTTTTGTGGTACCAGGGATCGAACTTGGGTCCCTGTGCTTGTGCAGCAGGTGGCAAAACCACTGAGCTGAATCCCTGGCAGCATTTTCTTTTTGTATGTTAGCACAGCTCCACTTTGTTTCAATCAACACAGGTTCTTATTTTCATATTTTGAAAAATAATGCAAAATTACAATTTGAAATTAAAGACATTACAATTTGAATTAGCCCTCAAAGAACACTAGGACTAGAAGTCCCATTTGACCCAGCTATTCCCCTGCTGGGTATCTTCCCCAAAGAATTAAAAGAATCATACCACAGTGATATATGTACACCCGTGTT